TTTTTTATGAATATTTAAAAAATCAATTATCATTTTTGTGTATGCTATAAAACTAACCAGTATGCAAATTCATTTGTGCAGACTCGGAGGAGTAGAAGACAAGCAGCCTACAGATCAGGTATTTATTGTTTTATTTTTATTGCCTATTGATGTAACTAATATGTTTTCTTTTAGTTAATAGTTGTATGATAAACTAAGATTGACTTTTCACAGTAGGTTAATGCTTTTTGCCTGTATTATTTTTTTTATTTGCAATATTTTCTCTATGTAGTTTTTTTAAGGTGGAACAGCCAGTTGTATATTTGTATCCTTATAGAATGCAGAAAGAGTACATTTTTGATTTAATTGTCATCTGCAGGTGGAGAACAAGAGGTACCTGCAGTGTCCAGCAGCCATGACAGTCATGCATCTGAGGAAATTTCTTCGCAGTAAAATGGACATCCCTAATACTTACCAGGTCTACTTTGTTGCTATTTATTTCTGATTTAATACACCAATTATAGTCCTAATGGAGCTAGTTTGCTAACATAATAATATTGCTAATTTAATAATATTTGTTCCTCCTTAGGTTGAAGTCATGTATGAAGACGAACCTCTGAAAGATTACTACACGTTAATGGACATAGCTTATATCTACACATGGAGACGGGTGAGACATTTAAGATTATTTAAACTGCATTAGTGGGAAATGATGCCAAACACAACTGTATTTGTTAAAATCTTTTATTACATTTTAAATAATTTCACAGAGATTTTTTACAAGTAAGTCTGGCAAAAGTTTTACAGTTAGTCTTGTATATATATATATATATAAAAACTTAATTTAAATATTTGCCACAAAAATAAACAATTAGAGAAAATGAAGTGATACAGTTCATGTAAGTCACAATTTTCAAGGCCAGAGTAGAAACATTAATGTTAAGATATAAGAAATCGTTAAGGTATATCTTTATCAAATAGTAACAGAAACTACTTTTATGCTAATAATGTTTAACTTAAGTGCTAACTATAACAACAATTAAAAAAAACATGCCTGTGTTTTAGAGTAGATATATAAATCACGTTTTTTTGTATTCTATCAACGCACTTTACAAATTTCCAATAATGTTTTTATTTAACTATATTTTTCGGATGCTAATTTAAAGTCAATACTGCTCAGTGACTTGTCTCAAATGAGGACGTGTCTTACCTCCACCACAGAACGGTCCTCTTCCTCTGAAGTACCGAGTCCGACCCAACTGTAAGAAGATGAAGGTGAGCCACTCTCTGCAGGACGGTCAGAACAGCACCGGAAGATCCGGACCAGAGAGCGACTCCGCCAGCGACAAAGCCGGAAGTCCAGCCGGGGCTGCATCCACCTCGTCCTCCTTGCCGAGCCCCGGTACTCCCGCCCAGTCACCGCACCCGCAGATCCCACACGGCTTGGGCAACACCAACATCATCAACGGGAGTCCAACTGCTGCTGCTGCACCTCCTCCTACACTTCCTCCTCCGACCTCCAGCCGCTCTTACAACCAGTTCAGCAGCGGCGTCAACAAGCCGAGGAAGGTGTCCCTGAACGGCTCCTCGTCCTCTGGATGACCGCAGGGCCCCCGGGGTCGCCAACGCCAGAACCCGCTCAGCTAATTCTGTTTTCATGCCAATGTAGTTCCAGTGTGTAGACACCGTTCTTCTCTCTGTTTCTGCCAGTCGGTCTTCAGCGTCTACATAAAAAGTTAAAACACAGTCAAGTGGAATCGGAGGCATTTCAAAGTAAAAGCTTTTTATGTTGGAGAATAAGGACAAGACATTTAGACGTTGTCATCTCTCTTCTTTAAGACTTAAAATGCTTTATTTTACAAACGCGACTGAAGACACACTTTTATATTATTCCTTTTCAGATTTTTTTCCCAATTTGTCGTGTTTATCATGAATATTTCATGTGTGTTCTTTTTGGAAACGGTAAGTTTTTAACATGCATGCTCACGAACACTTTCTTTTAAAGAAAGAAAATCTCACCACGTGGAACTGACCCTGACTGTAGTCACGAGATGACTGCACAGAACAATTGTTTTGCGTTAACACAAACTTTCAGATTTACTCCAGCGGGTTTTTAAGACTCCACGTGTAGATAGAGACAGAAGCCTATTTAATCAGCGGTGTTATTCTCTTTAGCCCCCTCTGTTTTTGTTCTGATGGAATGACTCGGGCCATCTTGCTCAGTACACACATGTTTTCGTGTTTTTCCCGTATTTGTATCGCTCGATTGTATGGACAACTTATTGTATTGTTACTGTTGCACAGTATAAAACATCTAAATAAAAACATTTTACACGTACGAATTTTTTCCTGACCTTTCATTATTATAAAGATTATTATTTTTATTAATACACTATTTTTATAACGTATACATTGTACATTGAAAAATATACTTTTATTAATTATTCATATTTAACTAATACAGCGGATTACTTTTGATTGTTAATTTACATTGGTTTGAAAATAGATGCTAAAATGTTGAGCGATTTTTAAAAATTATAATAAACAATTAGTGAACGAGCAGTTTATTTTATTTTACGGACGTAATTGGTTTGATTTGACTAAAGGGTTTACTTCCTGGTTCTAAGTTAATACAATTAAAGTTTTTTTTAACTCTTAAGATAAACAATTTCACGTGTAATTAAAAAGCTTAATGGTTAAACATGTCAGCGGTTCTATAATTATTTCTACAATACGTAAACATTTTTTAAAATAGGTATTTGTAATATTACTTTTGTCGTTTTTATATTAAATGCCAAACTAAATAAAAGTAAAGGTAAGAGCTAAAACACTGTTGTATAGTTTATTATTTTATTTATTATTTGGATGGCGTAGATTTTATAATGCTCCTTTTACGCGTGTTGCTGATGTTAAACTTAATTTACGAATCTCTTCATTTATAAAGAGAAATGCGACGCGAAACATATAATCTTTAGATTAGTCTCATTTATTTATTTAGTTATTATTTACTTTCCTAATGCAAAAACGGAGTAGGTAAGAACGCCTTAAAATCAACTAAGTAAATTGACAGTCGATACGAAATAAATTATTTAAAAAACATTTTTTAGTAAAGGTGAGCACCTAAATAAAACCACACGCAACAAATAAATTGAGATAATTTTAAATGAGGGACCTGCCGACTATCCAGGTTATTATTAGTTTCGTTTTTATTGCTATGAATTTTGTGTTATTATTATATATCCTATATTTAAACGGTTTTTCCTACATTTAAAACACTGTGAACATGCAACTAAATATCGCGATAAATATTTTACCTTACGCCTAGATTTTACATTTAATTTCATAATTCCAGTTATATTTAAATTACACGCGCATCTATTTAAATTAAATAAAAAATAATTTTTTAACTATCGCCAGAACCTTTAATTGGGTCGTTCTCGTGAAATCATTTGTACACTAAGGCAGTAATGATTTTAGTAATAAAACATGCATTTTTATAAAATAACAAAACATAATAATAAAGCTGATATTTTTTTCTATGAATCAAAGAGTAAGTTCAATATAAAAATTAATTTTATTTTATTGCATTTCATGCATTTTAAAGGGATACTTAAATATATATTTTTAAATAATTAACATATATATCAGTACATAAATATATATAATATGCAAGATTCTAATTATCCAAAAATAATGGAAGCTCTAATGGACGTTTGAAATGACTATTTCAATTGTTTAATAAAATTCCCATTTCAATGTTTAATAAAATTACTATTTCAATGTTTAATAATCATGAATAAATAGAGGAAAGAATTTCACGAGAATGACCCAATTCGGCTTTAATTTGCGTCAGCGTCGATTTAGTCGAATATAAAAGAGTAAAGAGTATCGCTGTATTTGTTTTTTTATCTACATTTAATGATAAAATAGTATTTTTCACCGTATAATATTTAAGTAAATATATTTTGGACATTTTAGGAAAATAAGAGGGAAAATGAAAGAGGACAGTTTTGAAGAAAGACAAGAAAAAGAAACCTCCGTTTAGAAAAGTTCCATGTTGAGCGTCATTTCCGTGTGAGATCACCGTGTTCGCTCCTTGCTCTGTGTGAGTCTGTAGATGTGAAAGATTTGAAAGTTTGATAAAGAGGAGAGCGCGGCTCTTTTCTCCTTTTCTTTGGGACGTGAACAAAGATGCGCGCACCAGAGGGCTCTCAGTGCACAAGCCTTTGGAGTTCTCACTCTGAGCACGTTTCTGGTGTGACAAGGGAAAGAAACGAGACGAAAGAATGCAGAGCCGGAGTGAATCATCTTGACAGTTGACGATCTACGGTGGTAGGCGCAGAACATCCTGCTTCCTGTCTGCTGCCATGGCAACACATCACAACAACAGCCAGAGCCGAGAGGCTGCAGGAAGAAAACCTGAAGCTGGAGATTGTTTTCTGGTTTGTTAAGTTTTCTTATCCATTCAGAAAGAATGAGTCAGCGACAGATCATTCAAGGTGAGACTCAAGGATGCTACAGATTCATTAAAGGTCACATTCAGGTGATGCCTCCTCGTCATTTGTCTTTGTGTGATTCACAGCATTCGAGCAGTATCAGAAATCAAGGTTGCAGTTTGTGCAAACTGTTGCTGATTTGGCATCCAGACCCCAAAATATAGAAGTCCTTCACAATGCAGGTAAGAAACAAGACAGGGGGCAGTGTGGGTGTTTCCATGTAAGAAGAATGATGAACATTCAGGGCCTTTGCTCTGATGGTTCATAGTTGTAGCTCATGAATGAAGATAATGTGAGTGAAATGAAGACAAATGGAGGAACAAGCAGAGCAGGAATTGTCTGAGTTTACTAAGAAGGGAATACAAGGGTGCAGAAGAAGATACTGTATGTCCAGAATGTTAGGCTTGAGAAGGAATTGTAAAGTCTATACACTAAGGTGAAATTTGAAGAAGAAAACAGCAGTTTGGTGGAGAGAAATAGATGATTACATTTAGAAAGAAACATTTAGAAAAAGAGAAAACATAAGAAACAGAGACGAGAGATTCAGAATTCTAAAGACAGGCGTAGCAGAAAAGCATCTGAATATGGTGCAAGACATGTTGTCCAAGTAACAGATGGGTTGAGGGCTGGAGGGTTTGGACGTGGGCACAGTGGGCAAAGAATGATGGAGATCTCGCATTTAGGCAGAATGTAATAAGAAAGACATCAGTGAAGACATCAGAAAATGGTAGAAGAGAACAGAACAGGAAAAGACGGGACTAGTCGGATAACAAATATTAAACCATTAAATTTTTCGATAATTAAGACTTTAATCATTTATTATTTTTATGAATTAATAGAATAAAAATGAATAATTGTATCTATTATTGTCACTAAAGTGTTATATTATTTTTATTATTATTATTATTTTTTAAAGAGAATAACACCGCTGATTAATAGCATCATGACGCAACGTATTAGCTCTGGTGATTTCTAAAGACCGACAACAACCTTAGAAATATACAAAAATGTTTTCACTACTCACATTTCTGATGCATCAGCTTCTCTTCCTGTAGGTGTGATGTCCATGCTGCGTCCGCTGATGTTGGACGTGGTCCCCAGCATCCAGCAGACAGCAGCTTTAGCTCTGGGCCGTCTGGCTGACCACAGCGATGAGCTGGCAGAGGCCGTGGTGAGGGAAGACATCCTTCCACAGCTGGTCCACTCTTTGGGCTCACAGAACGTCAGTACACCTCACAACTGTGAATGTAAAGACAGAGTACATTTAAATCACATGTGTGAAACACTGATAGAAGATCAACAGCACAGTTTGCACTTTACTACACATGTTTTTATTGAAAATATTTTGGCATGCCTACTTTGTTGGTTAAGATTATATTAATCTATTCTAGTATTCTCATGATTGTTAGGGATGTTGCTGCATATTGAATATTGCATATTCATTTTTTAAAAATATTTTGTAATAATATAAAACACATGATATAGTATGTATTAAAAAATATATAATGTAAACACAGAATGACTAACTCAACACTTAGGTGTTTCAGTGGCAAAATAATCCCATAAAAATAAAGCCCCAAATATGCCTTAAAGGTTTGTGCCCAACAACATGTTGCCAAGTGAATCATTTGTGTATAAAACTTGAAAGAACATGATATCTAAACATGTCAAATATCACCAAAAATAGGTAAGACTGTAGTCTTAGTCTTCTTCTTTTTCTTTCGGCTTTGTCCCTTTTTTTCAGGGGTTGCCACAGCAAATGATTGATTTCCATCTCTCCCTGTTCTCTGCATGTCCTCCCTCACTGCACCCATATATCTCCTCTTTGGCCTTCCTCTCTTTCTCCTACCTGGTAGCTCCATCTCTAACATTCTCCTCCCAATGTATCCACTGTCCCTCCTCTCCACATGTCCAAACCATCTCAATCTGGCTTCTCTGTCTTTTTCTCCAAACCTTCCTGTCTGTGTTGTCCCTCTAATGACCTCATTTCTGATCCTGTCCATTCTTGTCACTCCTAAAGAGAATCTTAGCATCTTTAACTCTGCCAACTCCAGCTCCGCCTCCTGTCTTCTGCCTATTGC